AGGTGTTCAAGGAAAGACTGGATATGACACTCAGTGCTCTGGTCTGGGTGACAAGGTGGTGTTTGGTCAAAATTTGGACTCAATAATCTCAGAGGTCACCTAAATGAATGGTTAAACTTTGTACCATTTACAAATGAATTTGGGTCAGTGAAAGGGTTGTGGCTCAGGAAAACTTGGATCTCCCTGGCTGGAGTCACGTTTCACCATTGAGCTTGTGCACATGGGAGGAGTTGAACCAGAACTAAACCCACCCACCTCATGTCTTTGGGGTTTCCTTTTCTCCCTCAGATACGTGGTCAGAGAAGAGATGGGGCCCCAACGTCACCGAGTTCCAGCAGAGGTTTGATGAAGTTCTCACCAGAGGGGAAGGTCCCAGAAGGCTCAAGAACCTCTATTTTCTCTACCTGATCGAGCTGAGGGCCCTCTCCAAAGTGCTGCCCTTCTTTGAGCGCCCGGGGTTCCAGCTGTACACGGGGAATGAAAGCCAGGATGCGGAAATGAAAGACCTGTTGCTGGAAATTCTCCACCTGGCCAAGTAATTACACTTGGGACCTGGGGACAGTGGCTCTGGAAACCCTGGGATGTCTGAGTGTGATTGTCACATAAAGCTCCTAGAAAGGCAGGTCTTGGGTTCCTTCCTGGAGTGATTTGTGCAGTAGGATCATAGAATCATGGAATGGTTTGGGTTGGAAGGGACCTTTTAAAGGTCATCTAGTCCAACCCCCCTGTAAGGAGCAGGGACATTGTACCAGTAGTGTAGTTTTGGTGGGAGAACATTAATATCTGTATGCAAATAGCAAGATTTGGGTGATTAGTCCTACAGTTTAATTAGTCCCAGGGTTTAATAGTCTTGGGTGCATTTTGGATTGAGCAGAATTGAATTTAATCACTGCCTATGTGCCAGACCTAAAATTGGCCACCTGTGTGACTCATCTGTGGGATACCAGTCCTGGCTTTTTGACTACAAAAACATCCTAAATGTGTTGGTAACAGAGGTTTAGGCTATTGGATGGAATTTGGAGTAAGAGGAATGGGAGATACCAGAACCAGGCAGAAATGGGGTGTCTCCTGTCGTGATCAATGTTTGAATTTATCTGGTCACACTCCTGTGCTTGTGTCTGTTGGAAAACAGGCTGAAATTGCTTCAAAACCATTGAGCAATTGCTGGAAATGTCTCCAAGGTGAGATGCCAGCTCAGATTGAAAGAGGTAGTAGAATCCCAGGATGGTTTGGGTTGGAAGGGACCTCGAAGATCATCTCATTCCAGCCCCCTTTGGGGTTGGGTCCAAGATTAGAATGTCCAGTGGCTCACACCTCTGTTTTATCCACACACCTGACCAGGACTTCAGCCATCCAAACATCCTGGGGAGAAATAAAACTCTCTTTCATTCCCTCCCAGGTCTTTCCCGCTGCATTTCGATGAAAACTCCTTCTTTGCGGGGAACAAAAAAGAAGCTGCTAAACTAAAGGTAATTGCTGCTTTCAGGAAGCTTTTCCCCTAACTCTGAAGTCCAGGATTAATTGGGATTAATGCAGGGATTAGGGCATAACCATGATCAATGTGGATGTCTTTTCCCCCAGGAGGAATTTAGGCTGCACTTCAAGAATATTTCCAAGATCATGGACTGTGTTGGCTGCTTCAAATGTCGGCTGTGGGGGAAGTTGCAGGTAAGATTTGTCACCAGCGTGTCTGGAAGCTCCTGGTGATGGGACTCATGTGTGGAGGTGGTTCTTGGATACCCAGATACAGCTCAGGGCTGCTTGATTCCTTACCTGTCCAGCTGCCTGTGGCCTTTGCAGCTGGAAACTGGGATAACCTGCCACTCCCCAGGAGAGGGGAGGGGGTGCAGAGCCTCTGGGTTGAGTAAAATCCTCTTACCCTGTTAAGATGATGTTGCAGAGATGGAGAACTAAACTTGAATCAGGCCCTGGGTGTCTCCCTGCTGTTAAACGATCCCGTTTGATCCCTGCACAGACACAGGGCTTGGGAACAGCCCTGAAGATCCTCTTCTCTGAGAACCTCATTGAGAAGATGCCTGAGAGTGGCCCTTCCTATGGATTCCAGCTGACCAGACAGGAAATTGTGGCCTTATTTAATGCCTTTGGAAGGTGAGTTTGAGGCTTTTCCCTCTACTTTTACACAGACTGCTGTGTTACATCCCATTTCAGCTCTAACAGTCAGTTCTTCTCAGCAGTTTTGGGGGTGACTCTTGCTCTTATCACGCTGTCTCAGATACCGGATGTTGTTCATATGGACTGCAGCAGTTGGAAAAAGTTCAAACAACTTTATACTCTATTCTTCTGTAAGGAATTCAAGGAAGCATTTGTGTTAAGATACAAAGAATTTGGTAATTTTTTAAGGAACTGTGTGACTGTCCTCAGAGCACATCGTCCCAGACAAGGGATGCTCTCCTCAGAGCTCTCCTTCCACCAGTTCATTCCCAGATCCATTTGCCATGACTGCATTTAACAGGAATCCATCAGTCCAGCCCCTGTGGAGGGCTGGATGAGGAGTTTTTGGCAGAAAAGGAGGATAACAAGGCCTTAATGAGGGGATTTCAGGATGCTCTGGTTGTGCATTAGCACTTTGTGGTGTTGACAGACCTGGAGTTTCTGGCAAACAATATTGCCAGGAGAATCCAGGACCTGCCTGTGCAGCTTGGAATGTTCCAGTCTGTTTCTTGACCTGTCCTTAATGTGCTTGATCACTGCTGTAACATCCTGTTCCACTGGGATTCCCAGTGTTTGCTTTAAAAAGCGGCTGTGAAATTAGTGAAGGGCCTGGTTGGAACCAGAACCTAATTTAGCTGGAATTCTAAATTCTCTCTTCCCGAGAAGCTGCTTGAAGCCTTGCTTGTTGCAGCCCCTTTCTCTCAGATATTAAATAATTCATCATGTGAATGTTGCTGTAACGTTTCCCTTTTGCTTTCCTTGCACACAGGGTTTCAACCAGCGTGAAAGAACTGGAAAACTTCAGGAATATCTTGCAAAACATGCGGTGAATTCCATGGAGAGAGAGACTTATGGACAAACATCATTGTTGCATCACACTCCAACTTACACCATGAAAACCACTTGCTGGGCCTCCTGTTCCCAGCTGATTGTCTGTAACCTGCTGATGAGGGATTTTGTACAAGGGAAAAAAAAAAAGCTATTTTTTTTTTTTTGTATAAAAGTTGAGGACCGTCTGTAAATTGTATTTTATATATTGGAAAACCACTTGCTGGGCCTCCTGTTCCCAGCTGATTGTCTGTAACCTGCTGATGAGGGATTTTGTACAAGGGAAAAAAAAAAAAAAAGCTATTTTTTTTTTTTTTGTATAAAAGTTGAGGACCGTCTGTAAATTGTATTTTATATATTGGAAGATCATTTGGAATAACTCCTCGAAATGTTGCTGTGCTATTTGGATGGATCAGACCCATATTTGCTTTGCCTTCAGAAGCTGGAGGCGGGGCAAGAACCGTGCCATTGAATAAATTTGGGGGGAAATTCCTTGTCTGCTCCGTGATTCCAACCAGCCCCTCGCTTCCAGTGTGTCCACACTAACTTCCTGCTGCATAAAAAAAAAAATCACTTCAAGGGATTGTAGGAGCTGCTGCTGTCCCAAGGTGACTTCCTTTTCCTGATGGTCCTTGCTGCCCCCACTGAAGGCTTGGGAAGATGAACCAAGAAGGATCACCCTGGAGGAACCCCACTAATGGCTTTCGGCACCTGGAGGCTCCCCCTCCTCATTCAGGGAAAGGAGAGCCCACCATCAGCTGTATCCAACAGTCCACGGGGCAGCAGCTGCTGCCAGGACCCCAGTTCCTGGGCCCTCCTGCCCCTCCCAGCTTGTGCAAGTGGGTTTGGCCTCTTTTGGGATCTGCTCCCTGGGGGATGGTATCTGGGCAGGGCTAAAACGGGAAAGGACGTGCCCGCCCTGGGGCTGCTGCTCCTCGGAGATGGCACAGGATGAGGCACAGGGAATTCTGCTGCTCCAAGGACAAGCAGTGGGACAGGGCTGCTGGGACAGGGCAGAGGGTCCCTCCTGGGGAGGGCACAGCCCTTGGATCCCCCGCAGCCATAAGAGGTGACTCCCTGTTCCTGCTTCCAGCTGGGTCCCACAGGGATGGAGCCAGCCCAGATTACACCATCCAGTGCTGCAACAGGGGCAAAGGACAGGCTTGGGGGGGGCAGTGCTGCTGGAAAATAGATCCCCCCAGCCTGGATCTGTGTGGCAGCCCCATGTTTTCCATCCTGAGCTCCCAAAAGGCTGGAAGGACAGGAGGAGGCAGCGTGTGCTCCAGCAGAGCCACTGCTGTTTGCCCTGAGCTCAAGGCCACACAGATAAACCTGTACAGGGAATAAGGGAAGCTCCAAGGAGGAAGCTGGGGGTTTCAGCTCCTCCTCAGCTCCATCCCGCTGGGGCTGGGAGGATGCAGGTCCTGGGAAAGGACAAAGCACAGCCCATGGCCAGATGTGTCTCCTGACCGGTCCTGGGAGGTGATTTGAGCATGTTGTACCTCACGAGCTGGAGACAGAGGGAATATAGAATTCCCTGAGTTGGAAGGGATCCACAAGGATCATTGATCCAACTCCTGGCCCTGCACAGGACACCCCAACACTCCCACCTTGTCCCTAAGAGTGTTGTCCAAAGCCTCCTGGAACTCTGGCAGCCTTGGGGAGCCTGTTCAGTGCCCGACTACGCTCTGGGTGAAGAACCTTTTCCAAATATCCATCCTCAACCTCCCCTGGCACAGCTTCATGCCATTCCCTTGGGACATAGCATCCTTTTGGGCTGCAGCCAGAGAAACATCAGAGGATAAGGCCCCTTGTGACACCCCAAACTCATCCCTCGGAGCCCATCCAGCGGCAGCTTTACGAGCTCCCAAGCCCTGTCTCAGGAGACCAGTTGGATGTGCCAGGTCCTGGTAGGGCACAGGGCACCACAGGGCCACGCCTGGAGCTGGATGGGTCACCCTGGGAGCAATCCCAGCATAGAAAGTCCTTTTTTTTTTTAATTTTTTATTTATTTCAACAGAGTAGTGCTTGGTTACAGTTTAGTGAAGAACAAATAGGTACATTCATTGGCCACAGCTCCTGGTGCAGCAGCTGCTGCCCAACTGCAAAGCCAAAACACTGTTAAACCATACCAAAAAAAAAAAAAAAAAAAAACAAAACAAACCCAAAAAAGAAAGTTTAATGAAAGGCAACTATGCATTAAAAAAGTCATTGTACTTCTCAGCTATAAATTACTTCAGTAAAACACGGGACCGGCCCCGGGAGGAGCGGCCGGACTGGAAACCACCGGACAAAGGAGTAAAACCCAAACGCTTTGCCAGTCGCTCAGGGGTCCATCAGCAACGAGACTCACTGCCCTGACCTGCCATCCCAAATCCAGGAAGATCGTAGTGTGGGTGTGTGCTTCAGTGCAATAGGAACAATGAGCCTGTAGCCCTTGGATTTTGTATTTTTTTTTAAACTATTCTTTTTTTTTTCCTTTTTTTTTTTTTAATTTTTTTTTTGCACTACACTCCTTTCCCTCCAAAGAAAAACTTAAAGTGCTCCTAGTGCTTTGGAATTTAAGCAAGAACAGGGGCCACGAGCGTCACTTACTGTCTTTGGTGACTTATGGGAGCAGAAGGAAGGGGGACACACCGGGCCCTTCATCAGCTTTGCCATAAGCCAAGCAGTGATTGAGATGGAGCGACCTGTTCCTGCCAGGAGACAGGTGAGCAGCCAGGGTGGAGCTCTGGGTCGGGTACTCAGTGAGGGATGTGCTGAGAGTTGCCATCTTTGCCTTCTCCAAAAAGAAGCAGGGCTTGCTGCTCTTTTTGGGCCAGGGAGAGTGAAGCAGGTGAGCAAGGAAGGGGCCAGCACAGACCACACACAGGGACTGGGTGGGACAAGTGACATCGAGCCCAGCACAAGCAAGAGGTGAGAGGTGACCAGGCCACGCTGGTGAGGAGAGGCCGGGGCTGCCCCAGGGCTGGGGGTTCCCTCACACACAGCTCAGACACAGAGGCTGCCTCAGGGTCCCCCCGGCTCCCAGAGCTGCCCCAGGGCTGGGGGTTCCCTCACACACAGCTCAGACACAGAGGCTGCCTCGGGGTCCCCCCAGCTCCTAGAGCATTGTCCCACCACAGCACTCCCTGCCCAGGGTCAGCCTGGGGTTTGAGCAGCACGAGGCAGGTTAAAAGCAGTTCCAGTGTGGGTTGGCACCAGTGGCCAGAGCAGCTCCCACTGGAGCAGGGCCTCCATCCAAAGCTGCTTTGCTCATCCCCACAGCAGGCTCAGGGACAAGCCAGGAATGACACCAAGCCTCATCTCCAAGAGCCCAGGCCGGGATCCAACTTGGCTACTTTGGTTAAGGAGAGACAGGGGAGCCTCTCCCAGCCTGACCCAGCACTCACACCCTGTGTACTCCAGTGGGAGGGCTCCAGGCCCTGGAGGGCAGAGCAAGGAGCCCAGGGATCAGATCCCTGTGATTTCTGCCCCTTCCCTCTGCAACAGCACACTCCACAGGCAGCCAGACACCTCCTGCACCTCAGTGGGGACCCACCAGTTCACATTCACTTCAGGTTAAACCTCTTGGTTATCTGCTAAATGCAATTTAATACTGAGGGGGATGAGGGGACCCCACCGTGGGTGACGAGGAGGGGGGAGCAGGGCTGCTCTCAGCACCCCCGGGTCCAGCAGCCCTGGATTCACACACATTCCTGCACACACACTCCTGCTGAGCCAGCTCCAAGCTCTCCCTGAAGGGAAAAGCCAGCCCTCTCCCTCTGCCATCAGGTTGGTCACAATGCCAGTAGGAACAGACCTCCCCCTCAGCTCTGAGCCATAGGCCCAGGAGGGACAGGTCAGCAGCCACGTGGGACGAGGATCAGGAGTCAGAGCAAGACCCCCCTCAGCCCCGAGGCCTCACCCAGCCCTGCCAGGTGGGAATATGGCACAGAAAGCTTGAGCATCCAGCACAGGAGGCCCTGCCCGGACAGAGCTCCCACTCCCAGCGAGTCAGGATGCAGAGTACTTCACGGAACCCGCCTTTGCAGGAAGACAGTGCCTCTCCCAGCTATGGATGTGCAATTAAAAGAGTAACTAGAACAGTCTCAGACCAAGCAGAGCCTGAGCAAGATTCGTTCCTTCCAAGTGTGCAGATAAAAGTGCAAATACGCATTTGATGTTTCTTTTCTAGTGAGGAAGCTCTGGTGCATTTAGCTGCCAACATCTTGAAGACCAGACCAAGAAAAAGCTTCCAGAGAGTTCAGCTTCACTTTGCTACATGGTACCTTTAAAGTCACAGTTCTCTTACTTACTGCCCGCAGCCTTCGGCTCAGTCCCGCGCGCAGCTGCGGCAGGTCGTGGAATGTTTGTGTCATGAGTTAGATGCTTCAGGGGAGGAGGAGGAGGAGGAGGAGGAAAAGAGAAAACCAGGTTACAATCCTATACATGAATGCCACTCTGGGAATGGAGGGAGCCTCCTCAGTTCTGTGGGGCGGGGTATGAGCTGTGGTGGTTGCTCTCCGAGCCGCCGGCGGCGCAGAGCAAGGGCGCGCTGTCCGCGGGGGTCCCGCTGTCGTTCCCGGCCAGGGAGCCGTAGAAGCCTGAGCACTGAGGGGTGGCCAAGCTGGAGGGGAGACAGAAAACACACACGTGGACTCTCTTAGAGATGAGTAATTTGGCTCCTCCAGCGCTAGGAGACTCCCAGCATTGATCAGGGTATCCAAATCTGTAGGTATAATATCTCCAAGGAGCCCGGCTTTGATGAAAAAGTACAAGGAGAAGAGCACCGGGCCCTACAACACTGCTCAAGAGTCAGAACCTCTGAACTCCCCACAGCAAGTGAAGGATTTAAAAATGAAGTGGAAAGGAAGTGAAATGTTCCAGGCTAGGCTGGACGGAGTTTGGAGCAACCTGGTCTAGTGGAAGGCGTCCCTGCCATGGTAGAATGGGATGGTTTTTAAGGTCCCTTCCAACCCAAACCAGTCTGTGATTCCATGATGACAGGGGTGCCAGGTTTCCCTGTACAGTTTTGCTGTGGTTACCTGACTGTTCTCCCCTACACCAGGGATTCCTGCAGGGCTTTGTCCCAGCTGGCTCCCAGAGATCATCTCCCCTCCCAGGACTTCCCCACCTCTTGCTTTCCAGCGGAGAAACACCTCTGGAGATCATTTCAGAGCCCTCTGCCCACAGCTTAGGGAGGATTCTAGAAAGACCAGTCCTCCTGGATAAGCTCTGTCTGTAATCACTACGTATTTCTACCTGTGGGCACCATCTACATCCACCTCTGTGGTCACTTCTGTCTAATAAAAACAGCTCCTTGCGAGCTGCAGAAGGAACAAAACCTCAGTCAGAAGGCTCTCTATCCCATGCACCTTTCCCAAGCTGCCTCTACCACTGATTTTTTCCCCTCAGAGCTGAAGCCAGGAGCTCTGTCCTTCTCCACAGGGCAGCAGGATGGCAGCACAACACTCACCCTCCTTCTCTGGCCCCGAGCCGTGACAGGTCGTCGTCGCTGTCGTAGCGCCTCGGATTGTCAAAGAAATAGGCTCTGGAGCTGTAACTGTGGCTGTTCACCATCCCTGCTGGAGTCTGCCAACGACAAAGGAGTTAGGCCAGAAGTAAAAACACACCTGACAGTCCTCCCAGGTGCCCTGGGGCTCCTCCCTGCACAGGGGTAACTTGCTCAGGCCCTACCAGGTTCTGGCTCAGCCTCTGAGCCCGGAAGAACAGCACCACGAAAGTCGTTGGCACCAGCTCCCAGAGGAAAAGGACCACTCCAAACACCACGTACTCCTCGCTGCTCACTTCCACGTGCACCTGTGGAACACAAACCAGAGGGGGCTGTATGATCCCAGCCATCCACAGAGCTCCCAAAAGCTGGAACTGGGAATGCAGAGAAACCCTTCCGAAGGCAGGAGTTCCTAAGCCAGCGCAGTGCCCCTCACCTGGCTCCTGCTACTGGTTTTGCTGGGCTGGTTCTGTTCATGTGCCACCAGGGCACTGGGAGCTCGCTCCCCACACCAGTGACTCTCCCTCTCACACAGCCACGCCTGATTAAGCATTGCTTTTCTGCTCTAGTTGACTTGTCCCTCCTCTCCCTCAAAAGAACAGTTGCCAGGCTAAAAGGGAAGAGCACAACAGGGGAATCCTTCCTGGAAAGGGGAAGACTCAGGTTTGCTGGGTGGAGAGAGCAAGCAGGGCTTCTGGAGGCAGAAATCCAGCTCCCCTGGGGGTTCAGGTCCCCAGACACCCCCCCAGCCCCTTTTCACCCTCCCAGGACGAGGAGTGACTGCCTTTCACTTTACTGGCTCTGGACTGGGGGTCACACACACTTACCTTGTCTGAAAGGTTGTCCCAGCCATAGTTAAAAGGACCAGGAACATTGTCTGGAGATATGGCCACAGCTACCAGGTTATAGCAGGCCCTTGAGGAATACAGAAGAGCCACTACAGATCCCACAAGAACAGCCTGGCAGACAGATGTTCCCTAGAATAGGAAGAAATAAAATGGCTTTAATATAGAGCTGTGATTTTCTTTCCCCCTTCACTTAAATTCACCAGAAGCTGTGCAGGCAAGAACGACCCAGAACATTTGTATGTTGTTGCTGAAATATTTAGAGCTGGTTAAGAGCTTTCTCATGTGATGAGTTCATTCCAGCAACAGATCCACACAGCCAGTGTCACCTGGGAGCAGGGAAGATCTGAGGCACAGGAGAGTCACTGTCAGGATCTTATCAGTCACCTTCCAGCTGGTGGTCCAGGGAGATGCTACTCCACTCACTGCCTTCCCATGGGAGTCTCCACAAGGCCAACAACCAAACCACTGGGAAAATCAACTGGCTGCTTCTATGCCCTGATCAGACTCTGCAGCAGAAATGTTCACCCAGCCCATTCCCTGCAGCAGCTCAGCACCCCAACATCACACACAGTGTTTGTTTAGGAAAGAAACCCAAATATTTGGGGCGGGCAGAAGGACCCAGTGCCTGAACCCCAGGAACTGAAGGGAGCCCACAGGAAATATGGAGAGAGACTACTTACAAGGGCCTGGAGTGACAGGATGAGGGGGAATGGCTTCCCACTGACAGAGAATAGGATTAGATTAGCTATTAGGAAGGAATTCTTCCCTGTGAGGGTGGAGAGGCCCTGGCACAGGTTGCCCAGAGCAGCTGTGGCTGCCCCATCCCTGGAAGTGTCCAAGGCCAGGCTGGATGGGGCTTGGAGCAACCTGGGCTAGTGGAAGGTGTCCCTGCCCATGGCAGGGGGGTAGAACTGGATGATCTTTAAGGTCTCTTCCAACCCAAACCATTCTGGGATTTTATGACAAGTCAGGCTTTGCTAAATACACCCATGAAGCCCTTTAATAGCTACTGGGAGGCACCAAGTCAGTGGGTGGGCACATAAACACGTGCCAGCAGCTCACTTGCCTTTGTGTTTAAGCAGAGAATCTGCAGGGGAGGCTCATCTCACTGACCTGCTCCACATCCCAGCTGGGCTGTGCCAGCTCTATTTTCCCGGCTTTGGAGCTCAAGGCAGCAGCTTGAAAGAGTCAGCACAGAAGTGCTGCTAACAAAGTGACAGCCCCAAAGCCCAGGAACACATCCTGCTGTCACCCTTAGCTGAGCCCTTGGTGTCCAGGCCAGCACAACGAAAGGCTGGTGAAGCAAATCTCCAGCTCACAAGGACCACAGCACAGGATCTGGCTGCAGTCCAGCCTCCTTCCCATGGCTCCAGCCTTTCACCTTCAGTGGTGGAGGCAGCAGCCTCCAGCCTTGCTGGATGGCTTTGAGTCAGCAGGTTCCCAGCTGGAGTTCAGGAGGCAGGACAACCTTTCCAGGCATTTGTGTAGCACTTGTGCTCATCCCCACCCTTTTCCTGCAGCTCCTTCACACAGGAAATCAAGGGATGCCCCCAAGGCAGGGAAGGGAAGTGGAGACCTGTAGCAGCCAGGTTGAGTATCCAACTGGAGAACAGGCTTCCCTGGAGCATGTTGTACAAGAGCACGGCCCCACAGGCAGCCTCAGGCATGGAAGGAGAGGAAGTTCCCGTGCTGGGTGAACTTGGCAAGTTAATCAGTGCCCAGAGCCAGTCAGAGCTGGATACCAGGCCCAGGCAGGCAGGGATGTGAGAAGGTTCTCAGCTTAGATGGCTCCTGTCTCACTGCAGCTGCGACCTATGGTTCACACGTCCTGGATTCTGGGAAACCAGCAATACTCTTGGTTGCTTAAGGAGCCAGACATCTCTTACTGAAAGCCTCAGCTTCAACCTTGACCAGGCTATGCTCAGATTTTTGCTATAGATTCCTGGAATCCCTGCCTTTGACAGGGGTGATATGGCTTCCCAGAGGAAGAGGAGGCAGCTCAAGTACACATTTAATTACAGCCTGCTGCCACACTGCTGGCAGTTCATCCACTCTCCTACCTGCTGGAAAAGGGCAGTGTGTGTTCAGACCTGTCCTTCTGCCTTGGGGCAGGACCTACAGCAACTTCTCCTCCCCTTCCAACATGCTCATCTCATCCAGGACTGTTGGGAGGGGATCCCCTTTGCAAAGAATTGTTGTGCACCTGCTACAGGCAACAACATGCTGCAAGTTTTACTGTCCTTAGTGATAATACACTGCCAAAACTGCATCTGCTGCTCTTGGAGAACCCTCTCATCCAGGCAGACCCTACATTCCCTTCCTGCCTGAAGAGCACAGGCAGCTCATAAATCTCCCAAAGCTGCAGACAAGGTGTTCCCCTAAAACACACAGGGCAGATCGTTCCCACGGCAGGAACATGCACTTTCTGGAGGGAGGAGTCCAAGAGCTGCCACCTCCTCTCTGGAAGGAATATTTGAGCAAGAGCAGCTCAGGTGCCCTCATGCCCTGAGCGAGCACACCCAGGTCCAGCTGAGAATCCAGCTGTGCAGTGCCAGGGGAAGCTCCCAGGGCATTCCCCTACCTTGGACTCGAGGTAGACGTTGGCTGAAGACATCTTTCCCAGCTTGCACATGCAGCCAGCCAGCGAGATGGCACAGAGGATGAAGAGGCTGTCGTTGACCAGGGCGCGGGCCAGGACCGTCCACCTCAGCTGGCTCTCGGGGACCTCCCCGTGGATCAACATTGCACAAGTCAAATTCACAACCAGGAAGAGGAGGCTGGTGAAGATGGAGCCCAGGTACAGCAGGACCCTGGAGGGATGGTGAGGGGGAGAAACGGAGTTTGAGTGAGATGAGGCTTATTCTGCACCACCCTCCTGTCTCACCAGACCCTCCCAGCACACCCAGTGCTCTGCCTGCTGGGAAGATCAGGCATTCCATCAACTTTCAGTGGTTGCACTGGCAGCCCAAGCCTGCAGAGTGTTTGTTGGAGCTGCTCTCAGAACACATGAGCAGCGTAAGCAGTCATGAGTTACAAAGACTCATCTTCTGACAGTCAGGTTCTTATCTTGCAGATTTTAAGTGTTGCTCCAGCTCTGCATTAACTCCAGTCAATAAGCCATGAGTCATCACAACCACTGCAACTTCTTCACTGAAAGCCACTGGAGCTTGCATTTCCCAGTGTGGGTTTCCCTGGAAATGGTTAGGAAGCACCTGGGCTGCACAAATGTAGGTCTCACCTACTGCTCGTGCCTTATTCTGCAGATCTTTTCTGGGGTGGGACAGCTTGGAATGACCTTGAGAGTTTATCTAGTTTGCTACTGGGGTGCTTGAGCTTCCTGGGCACCCTTGAACCTCCCAGTCCTGCTCCAAGGCACAACACTGATCCTTTGCTAGAGCACAGGGTTGGAATCAGCTGTGTTCAGCCTTTGGGGTCTGAACCTCCCACTCCCAGCACTGCAGTGAGTTCCCCCTTAAGCCACGAAGGTCAGAACAGCATCACTTACTTGTACTTGTTGAATTCAGCTGCACATTTCACTTTGAATATGACCTGGAGGAAAGATTTATACAGTGTTACTTCACATGACCTACGGTTTCTTTTAAGCTTACTCAAGAGATAAACAGGGGAGCCAGAAACCAGTTGGACACCTCCAAGGACTCCAGATTATTTATCAGCACCAAGAACTGGCCTTTTTTTTCCCCCTTGTAAAAGCCCAGCCCAAATACAAGTGCCCATAATACCCCATATGTGACAAGGACTTTAACACTCCACCTTAAAGATCTCAAGAAAAGCAGGGAATTTAGCACTTAATAGTCATTAAAATCCTTCAAAAATACATCTCCTTTGTCCAGTGTTCTGGGCTGCTTATTTTAGGACCTCAACCACACTGGATTTCTATGTTAGAAAAGGCTGCCTGAGCTGCTGTGCTTCAGCAAGACAAATAGCTGATCTAAAATAGCCCTCTGGTCTATTTGATCATGGACCTGCAGGCTGGAAAAAGCACTTGGAACTCACAGCTCCTCCATCCTTATGATGTTTGTAGGACAAATTCACCTGAAAAGTAACTCCAGAGGTGGAAGTTTGGAGCATACAGGGGCAGGATCTGAGCCTAAGGAATCAGGGATGGCTTAGGAAGGTGTTGACACTCCCAAGACAGAGCTCAGATGTGAGTTCCTGCTGCAAGGGGACAGGGAAGCAGCGCTCACACTGGTCAGGAAAACAGCAGGAAAACAACAGGGTTGTGTCCTGTGAAAAATGCAGCTCCAGGTACAGATCCCACCAGGAAGGACCCCAGAGCTGGGGTCAGTCACAGGCAAAGCCCATGTCCTGACTAGAGACTTGGAAGGAACTTGGGAAGAGAAACATCCAGACAGATCCAGCACACCTGTATTTGTGGGATCACTGCACAGGTGTGGAGGTTCAGTTTCCCTTCTCCTCCCTTTCCCTGTCAGCTCCCAGACTGTGGCTGCAGTGAAGGATCACTCATCTCCTACAAGGCACCCTTGGTCAGCTTTTTTTCCTGCTGGGATTCCTTGGCTCCTGCCTTCCAGCCAGCACTGAGGCAGAAGTGGCACACAAGCTTCAGGAATCAGGCTCCTGCCAAGAGGATTTCCAGAGACATTTCAGGATTCGAGGTTGTCTGATCCCCTGTAGTAGTTTCAAGCATTTCAAAGGGCATCAGATGGTGCCAGTGACCCTCTTCCAAGAGCCAGTTCCAGTGCCAGTGCCTGGCTCCTCTCCCCCAGTCTGAGGGAGGTTGAGCTCAAGCAGTACTTAGTGGGGAACAGGACACAGCTCTTCAGTAGAGATGGGGATCCATCCCTATGGATGTTCTCTATCCCGTTGTCCTGGCCTACACCAGCCCAGAGAAAAACAGAAGTGTGGCACAAACCACCCTGAGCCCCAAAACTCATCTGAGTTACACTAAACCTGTGCCTTGGAAGCACCATGTGGTGACTTTCAAACAGAAATATCCTTGAATCCTCCTTAGTTTGCCTGCAGGTTATGTTCAAGCACTTTGGGACTGGCACAGGATCACTAAGGTTGGAAAAGCCCTCCAAAATCATCAAGTGCAACCATTTAATTCAGCACCACCTTGTTCACCACTAAACCACGTTGCCAAATGCCATATCCATGTTGTTTTGAACTCTTCCAGGGATGGTGACTCCACCACTGCCCTGGACAGCCTGTTCCAATGCCTGACCACCCTTTCAGTGAAGAATTTTTTCCCAATATCCAATCTAAACCTCCCCTGGTGCAACTTGAGGCTGTTTCCTCTTGTCCTGTCAAAACAGACACCAAGGACATTTCCAGCTGGGAAAATCTCTTGGTCCAGCACCCATTTGGACAGCGCAGAAATCCATCTGAGGTATCTGTAAACACAGCCTCTGAACAGCACTGCAGAGTCCCTGGCTTGTATTCCAGCTGGGAATTCTGCACTCTCAGCTGAGAACAGCCCCTCAGCCGAGCAGGGAAGTGCCACTGGCTAACAGGAAGATGCTGGATGTGCAGGACTCTCCCTAAACTCTCCCCCTACAGCTCCAGGGATTAAGGCACATAAAGCTGAGTCAGGGTTAAGAGTGCAACAGCAACTTGAGCCTCAGGCTTGGCCTGCTGCCATGAAAAGCAGAGGGAGACCACAGCTCCAGCATTAGACTTTTATTAGCCCCCAGCTAATTATTCCTACAACTTCAGGAAGAGGACAGGCATCACTGGGTTTGGTGTTTTCAATTATTAAGACTGATAACTTATCTGAGGGTTACTTTTCCTTCCCAGGGACTGGGTCAGTAGGTGACACCAGTGTTTCTCTGGGTTCTCAGCCTTGAGACAAGCTTTGAGTCTCTCTGCACAGGACTCTGCTGCTTTCAGAGCCCAAGGACAGCTGAGGTAGAGGGTTCTGGTGTGAAGAATCCAGCATGGAGAGCTCAAGAGCAGTCCTGTTCTCCAGAAAGAGAGGAAACACAGACCCCTGCCCTCAAACAGGTGCTTTAGGCCAAGCTGGGAGCAGCAATCCTTGCAAACTGAACAGTTCCTTGGAATCTGAGCTGAGACCAGCCCAAGAGGTCAGGCCTGAAAATCAGGAGCAGTTTGGCAACACTTAGTTGCCTTTCCAGAGCCACAGATCCTCTGAGCACTTCACATCAGCCAGATTTGGGAAGAAGGGGAGGAGAATTACACACCCCAAAGTGCCCCCATGATGCTGGAGGCTTTTGGTTTTGTGGTGGGTGGATATATTACATAAAAGTGATTCCCTTGCTCCCAGCACAGCCCAGAAAGTGAACTTGCTAAGGATGTGTTTGAGACACACACTCATCCTTAGAAGGTGCACTGGAGGTGTCACAGCTGCTAAGAGAAGGTGACAGATGTCAGATCCCACAGATTGCTCCAAGGATCACTTCCAGTACCTGAAAAGCCAGGATCTTAACCCCAAATACTGAACCACTTCAGCTTGGTTTTGGTACAGCCATTCACATCAGATCCAAAAGATCCAGGAGAGCCAGGAACTTATTGTCTGATGGAATCAAAATCTCTCTTGTTCCATAAAGAAACCATGAATTTGGGCTTCACAGATACAAGACATAACCATGCCCTGTCCTAACACAGCCCTCACTCAGCTGCAGGAGCATCCACAGACAGATCCCTTCCCTCACCAGAGTGAGATAATTGGAGCACAGCCCAGACTATTTTGGGATTACACCCCGTAACAAATGTTCAAACCCCCACCCACCCCTCAGAGGAAAAGTTGGAACTATCCATGAGGAGGATCTCTCAGCATCGCCACTAATACTGAGATCACTCCCTGCCATCATGAACACAGGGCACAACTCGCTTGTTCCCTGATTTCCTAGAATAGCTGGTTGCCAGTGTGGACACCTGTTCAGCTGGGAAACATGGGAATCATCAGCTATGGGATGAGGCAATCTGGAGTTTAAGTGACCCCTTACCAGCTGTCCCTCTGAGGCAGAGGGCACTGCCAGGTGTCTGCTACACAAGGAAGGTGCAAGAAAGGATGGAGGCTTTTCCAGTTTTCCAGCTGAGAAGGAAGGTACAGGACAGCAAAGACAAACATTTCCCTGGAAAGGCTGGATGCTCTTTCCAAGCATGTCTGCTCCAGTGCAATTAGAGCAGGAAGGGATGGAGGAGGCTGATGTCATCTAATCAGATGGAGCACTCAATAGAAACCCAGACTGTTGGAGGGCTCTGGCCTCGCTGGCCGTCAGTCCCACCACTCCAGCATTCCTTACTCATCCCTGCACCAGCTGCTGATTCCCAGGAGAGCCGAGTGCTCAAGAAGGTCTTTGAAAGGGTCAAGACGGAAGTTGTGGCTACATTTCACAGAATCACTGAGGTCAGAAAAGACCTCTGAGATCATCGAGTCCCCCCTGTGCCCGATGCCCACCCTGTCCCCCAGCCCAGAGCACTGAGTGCCACGGCCAGGCCTTCCTGGGACACCTCCAGGGCTGGGCACTCCAAACCTCCCTGGGCAGCCCCTGCCAATGTTTAACAATGCTTTCCAAGAAGAAATTCCTCCTGATGTCCAACCTGAACCTCTCCTCACACAACTTGAGGCCATTTCCTCTCCTCCTGTCCCTTGTTCCCTGGGAGCAGAGCCTGACCCCCTCCCCCGGCTCCCCTCTCCTGTCAGGGGGTTGCAGAGCCAGAAGGTCCCCCCTGAGCCTCCTTTTCTCCAGGCTGAGCCCCCCCTCGCTCCTTCCATGTATTTCCATGTCCCAAGGAAAAGTAGGAACTGGCAGGCTCTTGGGAAGGGTGGCATTATTCAAGCTGATGTCTAGCTGGCAGCAGAGGAGCTATTCCAAAGGCAAGGCAAAGGAGCATCTTGTTTGGATACCCGAGACATTGAGGCAAGACTGGGAGTGGATCTGAGGAATTCTGACTTGATGCACTGTGAATTCCAGATTTCCAGGAAAGGACTCATTCTGGTACAAGTTGAAGCAGAAAGGAAGAGATGTTCCCAAGCTAAAGGCATTGTGATGTTCCAGATGGAAACAGTACCTGAAGGGAGCCTACAGGAGACCTGGAGAGGGACTTTGGACATGGGCATGGAGTGACAGGACAACAGGGAATGGCTTCACACAGAGAGGGCAGGGTTAGATGGGATATTGGGAAGAAATTCTTGGCTGTGAGGGTGGTGAGGCCCTGGCACAAGTTGCCCAAAGAAGCTGTGGCTGCCCCATCTCTGAAAATGTTCAAGGCCAGGTTGGAGCAACCTGGGACAGTGGAAGGTGTCCCTGCCCATGGCACAGGTTTGGAATGAGATGAGCTTTAAGGTTCCTCCCAGTCCCAACCATTCTGGGATTTTATGAAAAAAAAAAAATACACATCCTACATTCATTCTGCCAGGACTCTGCATCCCCTCAGGAATCTCAGGAGCCAGGAGGGGATAGGAAGAGGATAACCCCTCCCCACTGAAAGGAGAACACCAGGCAGTATAAGAATTTTGAATTTCAGCCCCAAAACAGCCTGGAGTGCCAAGTAATGCCAGTTCTCCATGGGTATCTGTTCCCTGGAGCTTCTTCCCCATCACCACTTCATCCTCAGCTTCTCCATAGCCTGAGGAGCTCCCTAAATCAAGCAAGATCAGCTCAAATAACAGCACAGGCCATGTTTTCTTCCACTGCTTCCACAGATGCCATTTCTCCAGCATCTCCACAAAGGAGGCACTGTGTAGAGAGACAATGAGCCAGGCCCTCAGCACAGCAGTAGCCTGTGCTTTTATCCGAGGACATCTCGGATCAGGATCCCACCCCCAGAGCAGAAGAAGCCCAGGGTCCTTCTGCTGGTCCTTCTAATTGCTACCAATTAGCCCTTAAAAACTGGGAATGGATGGGCACTTTCTCCTGGAAGTCACACCAGTAAACACACCAGTCATGTCTAGAGATGGGAGCCAGGAAAGCACCAAAGGCTTTCAGTCCATCCAGCTCCACTCTTTCTCCAAAGCTCTGGAGCTTCACTACCACCACTGTGAGATCACCCAAAAACACCACACAGTGCTGGACTCCCCTCCTGGTTCCAACAGGGAAGTATCAGACCCTCCCTGAAGCTGAGCATGCAGACCCACTTTCATAAGTCACTTTATGCTTCCCCACTCCAGATTCTGAGCTCTTATTTCCTCAGACAGGATTTCCCTTGGCTCTAGGTTTTGAAGGAGAAAGAAATGGGATATATGCAGAGTTCACTGAAAACCAGATATCGTGGGAGGAAGGGAAGCCTGGGAATCTATTTGGATTTACTTTAAGGGAACCTTTAAACAAGCCCGGAGAGAGGCAAATCTGCTGTTGAGTCCAGTGACTGAGAGGAAAACAGAAATGCAACCACTTTGTGGAGCAGAGCACAGGATCCCTGCTTTTCAAAGGACACAAACCCCTCCTGGCTGGAGCAATTGGTAGGTCAGGCTGCCTTTAGCAGACAAGATGGATTATGCACACTCTGCACCATTTGTTATCCTGCTGCCACTCAACCAACGCCACATCCAACACCGACACCTTTGGCAACAGGCAGCTCACCCCTGGCTCCCAAGTGTTTATTCAGAGCAAGGAAAGGGGGAAAAGAACTGAAAAAGCTGAACAACCCAATTGCTCCAAGTCTTCCATTATCATGTGAGCGCTGATGTCCTCGGGAAAATGAAATCATAACTCCCCTGGGTGACACATCGGAGCGACGGAGCGATTTCGCTGTGTGTTAGCGATTCCTTTGTGAGGCTGGAGAACAGCTGAGAGCTGCAGAGCAAAGAATCCCCACAACAACAACAACAAAGCTGGAAGGAAAAAGTGCTGCCTATTTATGAAACAAGTCACCAAACTGGGGAGGGCAGGCGAGCAAAAAGGGCTGCTCGGGAGAAACTGGAGCAGAAACAAAATATTCAGGGGAGGGGAGGGGAGGGGAGAGACGAGGCTTTGAGAGATAAAGACAAGCGGACTCGGGGAAAGGAGGATAAAAATCACGGCACAAGTGATGGGAAGCCCAGAAAAGGAGGGATACACTTGGTGATAACAACAAGCAGCTCAACACTGTCCCAGCAGCATGGTTTAGCTGGGAAGGGGCCCCCCTGTCCTGCCCCAGGCTGTCGTCTGAAGGATCTCAGGGTTTTGTTGTTTGTTGTTTTTTTTTTTTGTCTGACAACAAGCTGCAGAACAACAAGCCCAGTTCGCAGCGGAGCGATGGAGAGAAGGAGGGAGCGCAGCAACAATAGCAGAAGAGGCTCTGGCTGGTGACGTAATGGTTGGCATCACTCCAGGCCAGAGCAGCCCCTGCTGCTGCCACTTTCTGGTCCCCTTCGGAGAACGGGAATCAATTAAAAAAAGATGCAAAACAGTCCCCCGCAAAGTGATCCCCCCCCCTGCAATGACTCTGGGTTGCAAAGAGGAAAATCCCACCTGGGGAGCAGGGCATGCCCCTGCACCCCTCAAATCCCAAATTCAGGGCATGAGCCTGTTTCCCCCCCACCCCGGGGTCTGCATGGAGGGCACAGCCCTACACCCCAACCCCCTGATGCTGGGATTCAGGGCACGCTTTTTGCTCACACCATCCCCCCCAAATCCCACCCCCATCCCCCCTAAGGCTGGATTCAGGGCACAATTCCTGCATCCTTCCAGCCTGTACCGAAGTCTATACTGAGGGCTGCATTCAGGGCACAGTCCCTGTGCCTCCCCCCACGCCTGGATTCAGGGCACATCCCTGTATCCCCCCAAGCCTGGATTCAGGGCACATCCCTGCATCCTCCCAGCCTTTCCCAAAGCCAACACTGAGCGCAGACCCCCGGCATTCCCTCCCACCCTCACCTGGACAGTCGCACCTCCATCCCACCCCCCGCTCCATCCCACCCCAAAGCCTTGGCTCCGGGGCACTCCAACTTTGGAGAGGTGGCTGAAGAGGAGGTTCCAACCCCGGTGTCCTGCGGGACGGGGGTTAGCGAGGGAGGCTTTTCTTCCCCAAAGCAAAACTTACCTCGGCGAAGTAGAGGTTGAGGAGGCAGAGGCTGGAGAAGAGGAGGCAGCCGGGCAGGCAGTACAGGAGCCAGTGGGCGAAGGGCTGCTGGAGGCGGAGGGCCTGCAGGGAATTCTGCAGGTAGAAGGAGAACAGCGTGGTCCTGAGGGCTGCCCAGAGCAGGCAGAGGAAGAGGCAGAGCGTGTGGTAGCTCAGCCGCCGCTCGCGGTAGCAGAGCAGCAGCCAGAGCTGCAAGTAGGCGAAGAGGAAGAGCGCGCCGTAGAGCGCCGTGTGGAGCACGGTGAGCCCCAGCTCCACGGCGTAGGGCACGGCCGCCCCCTCAGCGACGGCCATGGGGCAGCGGGAGGCACCGACCCCCTCCGTGCCTTCCCTCAGCCCCGGCTGGACACCCCCATGAACAAAGGGGAGCCCCCCCCGCACTCCTCCTGCTCCTCCTTCTCCTCCCGCCCGCCCGGCTGCGCCGCCCGCCCGCCCGCCGCCAAACAACTCTCTGCCGGGGACACCCGGCTGAGCCCGCTGATTTGAGGGGCGGCGGCGCGCGCTCCCCATTGGCCGCCCGCCGGGCACGCCCCCCGCCGCGCCCGCCCGCCGCGCCGGTTGGTCGGCGCCGCCCGTCAATCACCCGCGGGCCGCCCCCGCGGGGCCGCCGCTTTGCTTCTTGGGTTGGTGACGCCCGCCCGCGATCGATCCCGCCCTCCCGGAGGGGCGGCAGGAGGAGAGAGGGGTGAGAGTGGTGAGTGGGGCGGTGAGGGGAGAGAAGGGGGCGGTGGGGGAAGACAGGGGAGCGACTGGCGGTAAGGGATGAGAGGGGCGGTGAGGGGTGGGAGGAGCCGTGAGGGGATCGAGGAGCGGAGAGGGGACGGAGGGGTGAGGGGCGCGGTGCGGGCATCGCCGAGGTGCTCCCGGAGCTGTCTGGGGGGATCTGGGCACTCCCGCGGGCTGAGGGCGGTGCGGGGACATCCCCCACTGCAGGTCGGGTCTGTGGTACTGTGGGGGTGTCCATCCCTGTTCCATCCCTGCGGGTGCAGGGAGAGCTCCGGGATCCCAGCAGGGACCCCGCTGCTCAGAAGTCCCGGCTCAGGGCGGACACCCTGGATACCAGGAGGTATCCCCGGCTCAGGGATCCCAGCGCCGGGCTGGCACAGACCCACCAGAGATGGGTTTGGCATCCCCAGGTTTTCCAGCCCTGCCGCTAAGCCACCGACCACAGGGAGAGCTCGACCCGGGGCGCTTTCCTGGCAGCCGTG